GGCTTTCTTTAGGGTCAGGTCTCGACCTCCGCTAATCGTCCCCTGACTGATAAGGCTCCCAGATTTCAAGGCTGCTTCCCTCAAGCTAAACCGAGGCTTCTGGTCCGTGCCAGAGGCAGACCTTGTCAATCCAAAGGCTTTCTTAGCTCAACAGAGCCTACAGGCTACAGGACCACAGTTTGTCATGGGGGAGGGGAGTGTCAGAAGGGCCTGGAGAGAGGCTCCAGAGGGGTCAGATTGAGAGCACAGAGTCGCCAGGGGCTGATGCACTGCAACATTTATCTCCAGATAGGAGCAGGTAATGGGACCTGGTCAGAGCTGGAAGTTTCTGAGGTTGATAAGAGTTTCTGTCCTGGTTACTGTCTCTCCGCCCCTCGCCGCAGGGGTCCCTTTCACAAGCTTGTCTCTGTCATTTTCAGGAAAGGGATAAACTGCAGAACTCAGTTAACCCAACTCTTGGTTTTTATCTGCTCTCCATGTGAATTAGGCATGGGACACCCCCACCCCCACCCCCCCAAAGCCTTGGGGTCCTTGGAAATAAAGGTTCCTCCTCTCAGGTTCAGGGAGTTGAGGAAAAGGCTCTATTAGGGGATGATGATGGTGATACTAACTAGTTACATTTCCTAGTTAATTTGTTACTTTTGGTTTCTCTCTCTTTTTTCTCTCTTTTTTTTTTTTTTTGGTTTTTCGAGACAGGGTTTCTCTGTGTAGCCCTGGCTGTCCTGGAACTCGCTCTGTAGACCAGGCTGGCCTCGAACTCAGAAATCCGCCTGCCTCTGCCTCCCAAGTGCTACTTTTGGTTTCTTTAAAAGATTTATTATTTTACTATGTGTGTGTGCTGTCTGTCTGTCTGAGTGTATGTCTGTGCAGCACGTGTATGCAAGTGCCCTCAGAACCCCGAAGACGGTTGTTAGGTGTCCTAGAATGGAGTTACAGGCAGTAGTGAGCTGTCATCTGGGTTCTGGGAATCGAACCTGGGACCTCTGTGAGATCAGCCAGTGATCGTAATCACTGAGAGCTCTCTCCAGCCGTATTTTTGGTATTTTGAGATAGGATCCCATGTGGTCAACGTTGGCCTCAAACTTAGTAAGTCGCCAAGACTGACTTAGAATGTCTGCTTTGCAAGTCACCGTGCCGGCCTCCCTTGCGCATGCGCTGGGATTACAGGCATGTGCTGCTATGCTTCACTTCAATTTTTATTCCGACGAATTGAAAACCTGCAGGGAAAGAGAAAGGGTAGTGCCTAAAATAATTCGCAGGCCTCAGATGCAGCCGTTGTTGACACTTTGTGGTGCTTATTTCTTTCCCCATTTTATCCTTGTAAATAAAAATTTAAAGAGTGTGTGAGGCGCACGCCTTTAATCCCCACACTCGGGAGGCAGAGGCAGGTGGATCTCTGTGAGTTCAAGGAGGCTAACCTGCTCTACATAGTGAGTCCCAGGACTATGTAGAGATCCTGTCTATAAACAAACAAACAAACAAAACAAAAACAAAAACAAAGGATGTTTCCCTCTACTGTGAGCCCATTGAGGATATTTTGTAATGCTGGGGGTGAGGTCATGCTGGGGGTGAGGTCAGTGAGAGCCCTTTTCTAGTCTGTTCCAGGTCCTAGGTTCATCCCCAGCACTGAAAAATGAGCAAGTTATTTGAAACATTCCAGGGCAGATATATTAGTGTATGTTCCTAATCCCAGCACTTGAAGCCTGAGGCAGGAGAATATCTCCCCTAATTTGAGGGCAGTCTGGGTAACTAAAAGTGAATTCAAAATCAACCTGGGTTACATATCAAATCAGAAACCATGGTGGGGAAAAGCCTCAAAGTTTAAATGACCATTTGTTTTGTTTTATTTGGACCTCATGTAGCCTGGGCTGGCCTTAACTTACAATGTAGCCCAGGCTGGAGTCGAACTCACTATGTACCAGAGGATGGTCTTGAATTCTTCCTGTCTCTATTTTCTGGGTGCAATGGCCACCATGCCCCATTAGCTTTTCCTCTCATTTGTAGGAGGGTTGGTGTGTGTGGAGGGTTCTGCATAGATTTTTCATTGTTCCTTCCTGGTCCACTTCCATCTCTGTGAGATGTGCATCTCTGCAAAGGGACAATTGCTAACCTATTGTCCCTACCTAAATCCCATGTGTCCTTAGGGTTGTGTTCATCGTCCCTTGTCAGGTGGATCCATTTTTAAGCTTTAAAATATTAAAAGTAGGGGACCCATAAATGACTCAGTGGATAAAAGTACTCACCACCAAGCCCCATGACCTGAGTTCACTCCCCAGGACCTACGTGGTGGAAGCAGAGAACTGACTTTAATTCTGAATCCACACGGTAATACACACACACACACTCACACACACACACACAATCCAGGGCCCACTTGATTTCTCCTAGATTCTGTGCATGCAGGAACCCGAGTGTAGGGCTGCTGTTTTTACATCTACTGTCTCTGTAAGGAAGAGAGGTTAGCCAATCCCATAGACAGGGAAGACAGGCCCTGATAGGAAGGGAGACTCTCCCAGGCCCATTGGGACTGAAAGAGATTTATTTGCCTGAGGATAAAATGCCTCTGTCATCAGGAGACCCAGGGCTGCTGAGTGCCCAGTTTACAAGACACCTCCATGTCAGATGATATCATTATCAGCATGGACCCCATCCCGGTGGGATTTCCCCCCAGGAAACACCCTGGCATCTGGTTATGTTGGGAACCTGAAGTCTTCTCTCTCGGTTAAGGACAGAATCAGGGCTAGCACTGGGAAGCTGTCATTTGTCTCCTATGGCGACTGCCCTGCAGGGAGGGCTCCTACCATCAGCAGACATTTGCCCAGTGCAGAATGGGACAGCGCCCTCTGGAGGAGTCCCATGATATCACAGAACAAGTCTTGGTTGGGACGCTGGGCATTAAGGGAGGCAGAGAAGGGATATCACATTGAAACTGTGTATCGCCAGAGCACACAGTTGCACTCGTCCCTTCAAATGCGCCCTATGGTTTATGAGTTTGAGAGGGTGGCTTTGCTGACACTGAGTTACTGCCCAGCACAGAACCCTGTGGTGGGGCAAGTCTAGGAGGCTCAGGCGCTTGGGGTGACCAGCCTGGAGGGCTGTCAGTCAGTGGAAGCTTACTCTTGCTCAGGTTCCTGAACATCCTCTCAGTGGCCAGAGTTCACAGAATTTCAAAGAGAGGTTGGAGCCTAAAGCTTGCCTTGACTTTAAAACAAGGTTTATGTATTTTCTGTGTCTGAGTATTTGCCTGTATGCACGAATGTGTACTTAGAGGACGCCTTTCAGCTTGCCTTACAGCCTTACAGCCCTTCTTTCTGGCTTTATATATTTATTTCAACCATAATCAATTTCATGTGTGTTGGGGGCATGCTACACAGTAAAGATTCTATTGGCTGGGTGCCATGCCGCACAATATAGTCCAACTTCTTGGGGGGCCCACTTGAGTCCAGGAGTTCAAGGCCAGCTTGGGCAACATCTAAAAACATTGGTCTTTTCTTTCTTTTCTTTTTGAGACAGGATTTAATGTAGTGTAGGCTAGGCTCAAAGTTGTTATATAGCTAAAGATATCCTTGAATGTCTGATCCTCCTGTTCCCACCACCCAAGTTCTCATATTAAAGAAGCCCACTGCCGTCGGGTGGTGGTGGCGCACACCTTTAAACCCAGCACTTGGGAGGCAGAGGCAGGCGGATTTCTGAGTTCGAGGCCAGCCTGGTCTACAGAGTGAGTTCCAGGACAACCAGGGCTACACAGAGAAACCCTGTCTCAAAAAAAAAGAAGAAGAAGAAGAAGAGGAGTGGGGGCTCAGGAGCAGGGGATGTAGTGAAGGAGGCTCGGGGTTCAAGCCTCCATATGGCAAAGAAGAGACTAATCAACTAAACCAAGTGTCTTGAAAACCTCCATTCAGTTAGGTCCTGATGTTCACAAGAGGAGCTCTTCCTCCGTGCCCTCCCCCCCCCCCCCCACCTGTATTCCTTCCTAGGGCTGGTTCCACTCCGGGGTGTGTCTTACAGGCTGTGGCTGTGCTTACCCTGAGGGTACAGGTTTTTGAAGTTGCTATTGTTGCTTATGTCTTGCTATGTAGTTCAGGCTAGCCTCCAGCTCACCACCACCTTGCTTCACCCTGAGTACCAGGATTACAGCCACAGGCCACAGCTGCAGCCCATGCCCTGAAGTCCAGCCCGCTTCCATTTTATCCAACTGGCTGTTAGGTAGGTGACAGTTAAGTGACTCTCCATTGCCTGTACCAACCCATTTTACAGTGTGTGCATGTGTGTATATGTGTGTATGTATCTGCATGTATGCATGCATGTATTCCTGCTGTTCAAAGTTCCTACAAAGCTGGACATGATGGTTGGCTTTAGTCTTGTCATCTTCAACTACATAGTGAATTCGAGGCCAGCCTGGGCTACCTGAGACCGTGTCTCAAAAACAAAACGAAACAAAACAAAACAAAAACAAAAACCAGCACCTTTCAAAACACAGAATTGGTTGCTGTCAAGCCTGACAACTGGATCCTGGAACCCATAAATTAGAAGGAGAAAGCTGATCCTCCCCAAGTGTGTCCTGGTATGTGCACTTACCCCACAAACGAGAGAAATAATGAATGAGTAAATGAATGAATGAACGAATGAATGCAAAATGGAAACTGACAAGACAAAAAAAAAATACAAATGGGTCCGCAGAAGCTTAGACCTTCCCTCTGGGTCCCCACCCTGCAGAGCGGGAGGTGCAGAGGGGGAACTCCTGCTGGGAATCCAGGTCAGCTCCGACCAGACTGTGACAAGAACTGGAAGGGGGCTAGGGCCGGAAACAGGGAAAAGGCAGAAGTTGAGGGAGGGAGCCCGACCCTGCCTGCGAGTGATTAGCCGCAGCCCCGCGCAGCTCAGTAAACAGAAACTTGCTGGCGTCCCCACCGCTCCATCCCAGGCAGGCATCGGATCCCGAGTGATTAATCCGAGTCTTCGGCGGCCAAGAGCCTTGCGTGGACTTGGAATCAGCCAAGATGGGAGTAGGAGGTGGCCTCCTGCAGCTACGGCAGGGAAGTGTCCGCGCTGCGCGGTGACACGACGGGCCAGCGCGGCATCCGGGGGCGCAGAGCCGGGGCTGGAGGCTTCCGGGAACCCCAGTCCCTCGGCCGCTGAACCCTGACACCCGCCAGATAAGCTCTATCGCAGCGGCCAGAGCCGGGAACAGCCGGATACAGGGGCCACCGAGTGCATTCCCAGAACCAGCATCCGCGGTGGTCAGAGGGCTGCAGAGAGCTCCTCCCGCCCGCGGTCGGTGACAACCAGCCAGCGCCGGGCAGCAGCGGCGCTCCGTCCGGGAGGTCCAGACCCGCTCCACGGTGAGTGTCGTCGCGGTCCCCAGCAGGCTGGCACGTGCAGGTGGAGAGAGAGGGGAGGGGCCACTTCCTCGCACTCACCTAGAGCACTAGGGCCACGAGAGGGAGTCTGGGTTGGAGCAGAGAGACCGCTGCTGTGTAGCCTTCGGCAAATTCTTTTCCCTCTCTGGGCCTCTGCGTGTCCCTGTCGGTCTTTAAATAGGTCGGTTATCCGGAAGATCTTTAAGGGGCTCTTGCGTGACACTATGTCTCAGACAGAATGCTGGACACTTTTGAAGTGGCTTGGTACAGGGAATAGTTAGGGAGTCCCCGGGGTTCTCCCTTCCTGGTAAAGGGTATGACTCTCTTCTCCGCTCAAAAAGGCTCAGAACGATGGAGCGACTTGTCTGGGGTCACACAGCCCATCAGTGGCATTGACAAGCAAGGAGCCGGGTCTTTCTGACTAATCGCTTATTCTAGGCATAGGGTGAGGGGAGGAAGGGTGGAAGGAATAAACTAGATTGACTTTCTGTTGCTTCAGGAAGGAGCTGAGGCTGGCCACCTCTGCTCCAAGCCACCTTCTGCTGTCAGGAAGGCGAAGTTTGCACGAGCTGGACCAGGCGAGCTCTGCTAGGAGGACAAGAGCCCACTGCCATTGGCTGGGCAAGGGATCCCCAGGGACTTGAGAGAAAGAGGGTTGTGGGGAGTTGGGTGGGGGGAGCTGGGGGCGGGGAGCACGGCGCATGCCTTGACTAGGTTCTGTTCCAATTTTATTTTGCCTTTTCAAAAATCTGTTTTAAATCATTCCGGGCCCCCGCGCGGCTCCTCTGGACAAAACAGAATTGTGAAACACACCAGCACTTTCCACACGCCTCCCCTGGGGGGAATCTCTCGGATTAATACCGCGGCCGGCTATTTGCATATCCATCCCTGCTGTGGCGCTGGCCGTGGGCAGGGAGTAGGCTGCAGACAGAGTTAGCCCGGGCACTCCGCGCGGAAGGAGGCCGGGTTACATTCCAGGGCTAGGAAGTCCCCAGCAGCACGTCGGCAGGTGGGAAGCCCCCCAGGGCCAGGCTTCCAGCCAGAGGTGAAGGTCTCAACACCCAGATGTGCCCTGTCTTACTTCCTCTGGAATGTTCCACTGGGCAGCAGCCCTGGGGTGGACCCACGCCTACTTTACTTTCCGGGGCGGGCTCAGAACCCCCTGCATTGAGGGTAAATAGGGACTTGAGCTGTGGTCCCAGAAACCCCCATCCATCCTAGGGAATGTGGTTTTTATGACTTGAACAAATCGCTTCTCTCAGCCTCAGTTTCTTCATCTGCAGGGCAATGGGTTTATTTAGGGAACACTTTAGAGGTTCTGTAGGCTGGATTCTGGGACTCTGGGCAGGGATATTCCCAAGGTGGAGGTACTGTAGGTCAGGTCAAAGTGCTTGCCTCGGATGCACAAGGCTCTGGACTGGCTCCCCTGGCTGCCTCTCTGCCTCTCTGTGTCTCTCTCTATGTCTCTGTGTCTTTCCCTCTCTCTGTCTCTTTCTCTCTCTGTCTCTTTCCCTCTCTGTTTCTCTGTCTCTCTCGGTCTCTCTGTCTCTGTCTGTCTGTCTGTCTCTCTCTTTCTCTCTGTGTGTATGTCTGTGTGTAGGTGGGGGTGGGGCTTGGGGAGCACTTCCAGTCCATCATCCTGCTCCAGAGGTGTCTGTGAAGGAGGATGTGTAGGGAGGAGGAAGAGCTCCAGGGCATTGGGAGGATGGGATGCCAGGAATGCAGGTGGGGATATGGCTGCAGGACCCATCAGCAAGGCAGGCCTGACCGCCCAGGGGTTGACCTGGTGAACCTTGCTGTTGGGCTCCTGCCCAGTGATATCACCCACAGGTGGGCGCTGGTCTTGGAGCCTCTGCTACTTGTGGGTCCCTGAGGCTTGTGAGGCCTGCAGGCTGGTGGGGGCATCTGCCTCCACCCACTGAGGGTTCTTCCTTACCTGCTGAAGGAGACTTTGTTGCCATGTGCAGCTGCACAGGGGTGGAACAATCTCGCTCCTGAGAAAGCCCACCCTCGGATTTTTAGGAATTAGGTGAATTGGTTGCTACATCCAGAATAATGTAAACTCAGAGTAACTTCTGTTTAAACTAGGAAGGGAGTACACGGAGCTTATCACTTCTGCTTTCTACTTGTGAGGTTGGGGCTAGAGCTAGGGCCTCACACATACATAGCAGGCTTTGCTGATGTTGTCAGCTCTTGGTGTTTTGTGATAGCGTGACCTCAGATTCACAATTCCAGCTGCCTACTGCTGGGACGACAGCACCTGCCACTCACAATTCCAGCTGCCTACTGCTGGGATGACAGCACCTGCCACTACCCCCGGTTTGTACACCTTTGGGGGTGAACCCAAGGCTTTGTACATGCTAGGCAAATGCTCTGCCAACTGATTTATACCCTAGCCTCTCTCCTTTTGGTTTTCTTTTATGTATATAGGTGTTTTGCCTGTAGCTATGTTATATGTACCACATGGATGCCTGGTGTGCTTAGAGGTCAGAAGAGGGCAGTGGATTCCCTGGAACTGGAGCTACAGACAGTTTGTGAGCCTCCATGGTGGTGCTGGGAATTGAACCCTTGTCCTCTGGAAGAGCATTCAGTGCTTTTAACCATTGAGCCATCTCTCTGGCTCCCTGGCTCCCATTTCTGAAACTATTTTCTTTGTGCTAGGAACAAGCTCAGGGCTTCAAGGATGCTAAGCGTGTAGCCTGCCACAGAGCCATGTCCTGGCCTCTCAGAACTCACCATACCATTTCCTCTAAGCTGTGTCCTGTCACATCTGAATGGCAGGAATGTCAAAGGGTGGCAGGTCACTGCACAGTCCTTCCCGATTTCATGTTCAAAGATTTCATCTCTGAAGCTCCGGAGTTTGCTTTGGTAGGAAAATGCCAAAAGGCCCAACATGGGGCTTGCTTGGCTTGTTTTGTTCTGTGTGCTGTTGGGCTTGAGAAAATGGCCCGTGTTAAAGTCCCCCTCAGCCAGGCAGTGATGGCGCACGCCTTTAATCCCAGCACTTGGGAGGCAGAGACAGGCGGATTTCTGAGTTCAAGACCAGCCTGGTCTACAGGGTGCAGGGTAAGTTCCAGGACAGCCAGAGCTACACAGAGAAACCCTGTCTCGAAAAAATCCAAAAAAAACCCCCCAAAAAAACAAAACAAAACAAAAAAAACACCAAAAAACAAAAACAAAAATGTCCCCCTTCAAATGTCATTTCCTGCCTCTGCTTTCTGCTGCCATTGGCACCTGAAGGGGCTGTCTACTTCTAAATAGCCCAGTAAGTTCCCACGTGTTTGAAATCTTCAAAACATAGCATGCAATGCCCCTGCTTCAGCCTCCTTGGAGATAGACAGGAAATATGCCATGATGCTTGGCCATGTAAATTTTGTCATATTATTTTGTTTTATTATTTATTTATTTTGATTTTTTCAAGGCAGGGTTCCTCTATGTAACAGCCTTGGCCCTCCTGGAACTTGCTTTGTAGACCAGGCTGGCCTCAAACTCACAGAGATCTGCTTTCCAAGTGCTGGGATTAAAGGCATGCGTTATCATGCCCAGCTATGGAATAAGCATTTATTTGTATTTTTGTGGGTCTGCATTCTTTGCCTGCGTGATGTGTGTGCTGCGTGTATGCAGTGGTCAGGGAGGCCAGAAGGGGGCGCTGGAGGAGGTTGAGCCTCTGGAACTGGTTGTAAGCCACCGGCTGGCTGCTGGGAACCAGAGCTGGGTCTTCTGTAAGAGCAGTCAGTGGTCTTAACCACCGAACATCTCTCTAGCCCCTGTAAATTTTATTTTCATTTGTAAAGTGTATGATATACATTCTTCCTAGCCACGCATTGCTGTGTGTTTCCATGCTCACGAACAAGCACCCATGTATGTTTGTATGAACACAGAGCCCTCGGAGCTGGGTGATAAACCTTTAGTTCCCTGATGACCTCTCTGCCTCCACCCTGGGGGCCAGATCCCCAGGAGGGACATCCAGGCTCCTGCTCAGCCAGGGCCATCAGTATGCTGGGACACAGATGCTTTGTTCGCTGCACCTTTGGTCTTTGTATCCAGGCTTCTGCACCTGTATCTTTGGTCTTGTAGTCTCTGGATCCAAGCAGCCTTCCGTAGTAGGTCCCCATCAGTGGCAGCTTCTGGTTAATTCCATGCCTTTGCAGACCTTGATCCTGCCAGCTCTGTTTTCCCCGTGCAGGGAATGATGGCGCTAATAGAAACAATGTCTTGGAACAATTCAAAGGAACAGCTAAGCCAGCCCTACAGAGGAGTCAAGACTGCTCTATTTTTAGAAACCCTAGGGGCCAGGTGGGCCCTTTCCAGGCGCCCCGGAGCAGGCCAGCACAAGGAAAATCTTTCTCACGCCCAAGTCCCGCCTCTCTTCCTTCGGCCAAGGAGGAGGCCCAGGTGGGGGTGTTAGCTAAGCTATGTGGCTATGGTGGAGGAAGGGGGCCAGGCCCTCAGTGATTAAAAAAAAGGGCTAAGAGTGTGTTTGGTACATAGGAAGTGTACAGAGAGGGTGACTTTCTGAGCAAGGGGACGTCCCAGGTGTCCATGTGGCTCCCCACAGGACCTCAGTCCAGATTGCAACCTTAGAACTCCCGTGAGCAGCTTGGCAACCCCTGTGAAGTCAGTGTCTCTGTTTCCGACTCTGCACCCTTCCTCCCACCCTCCCCACTCTGTCCCTCCCTCCTTTCTTTGGGAACTTCGCAAGAGCAGGTTGGGCAGGCTGGAGCTCAGGCAGAACACTCTCCTCGCCTGTGTGGGCTCTGGATTCCATTCCCCGCACCACATGCTCCATCGCACGCATGCGCGCCCTGAGATGGGTCCACCCGATGTGTTCTGCACACTGATTCTGTATCCTGGATGTTTTCTGGCCAAGGTTTGAACATTCCGGCCTGGTGAGGTGGCTCAGTAAAGGTGCTTGCCACCAAATCTCACGAGGTAGAAGAGAATCAACACCTATGAGTTGTCCTGTGATCTCCACACCTCTG